TATATATATATATATATACTCACTTTTTATACACTTACACTTTTTAATAGTAATATTAAACTCTTGATGTGTACTATTTATTTTATAATATTAATTAATAGTACTTTTTTATTTTATATACACACACTGCTTTTAAAAACAGAAATATTTTGTGAACTATTTGTGTAATATTTTATTATTTTATTTTTATGAGCAGAATGGATTTATAAATAGCAGGTATCGCAAATATTTAATAAACAAACCATCAAGGGGTTGCATATGTAAAAATTTCTGAATAATGGGCTTTACAGTTTTGCTTAGTTTTCTGCGGGTCAGATTGCACACTAATGGCCCACTCTCTGTATTAGTGCATTTTTTCCCAGCACTTCTCTGTAATAAGCATCTTCATAATTTCCTTTTATGGGGAGGGTGGGAACCGAGCAAAAGTGGGTCAACGAGGTACATCTGATTTTGAGATATGTACCCTACTTCCTCCTTCCACAAACCAACAACAAATCACCTCATCTATATCTTTAGGTCTACCGAGAGCTTGCCTGAAATAAATTAATGAAACTTCCATATCTGGCTTTGACTTGACCTTAGCAAGTTACTATGTCTGAGTAAATGAGTTCAGTAGGTCAGGGATGATTACTGTTTGTACCGTTTACAAAGTGCTTGTCTCGGGACTAAAGGATAAACTATACACTGATTCGTACTATAAATGTAACTTAGTCAAGCTAGCTATGGGGAGGGTGGGAACCGAGCAAAAGTGGGTCAACGAGGTACATCTGATTTTGAGATATGTACCCTACTTCCTCCTTCCACAAACCAACAACAAATCACCTCATCTATATCTTTAGGTCTACCGAGAGCTTGCCTGAAATAAATTAATGAAACTTCCATATCTGGCTTTGACTTGACCTTAGCAAGTTACTATGTCTGAGTAAATGAGTTCAGTAGGTCAGGGATGATTACTGTTTGTACCGTTTACAAAGTGCTTGTCTCGGGACTAAAGGATAAACTATACACTGATTCGTACTATAAATGTAACTTAGTCAAGCTAGCATGGTAGACATATTAATGCTTTAATTGTTTAGAGCACGGAATGTTGAGGTCCCACTGTATAATTCTGAATGAATGTTACTCACGCAGAGAGTGCCACTCATCCTGACGTATGGTCTTGGTGATGTTGTAAGAGAGATTCTTGGGTATTGTGGCCGAGGAGTAGTGGTACTTGATATAGGAGCATCTTGCAATGGACCCTGTAAGTAGAGAAGGACAAAAATACTTCAAGTACTTGTAAAATAAGTTTTGTTCATGTATGAACAGACAAACCAGAAATTGCGTTTATAATGAAAAGTTAAAGGAATAATTCACCCAAAAGTGCTGACGGTTTACTCATCCTCAGGTCATCCAAGATGAAGAAGAGTTTGTTTCTTCATCAGAACATATTTCAAGAAATTTAGCATTAGACCACTTGCTCACCAGTGGATCCTCTGCAGTGAATGGGTGCCGTCAGAATGAGAAACAAACAGCTGATAAATGCACAGTAATCCACAAAAAAATCAACATGACTCCAGTCCATCAGTGAAAAGCTGAGTGTTTGATAGAAACAAATCCATCATTTAAGCGTTTTAATTTTAAACAGTTGCTTCTGGCCAAAATACAAGAGTAACGCTTCCTTCAGTGAAACAGTCCATCCCCTATTGTCCTCTCACATCAAAATCCAGTGACATATTTATTTTGGAATGTTTTACACTTATAAGCAATGCTCGATCTGTGCATATTTCTCCCCTGATTCAGATGAAACAAATTTTCCACTGGAGAAAGCAATATTATGGATAGAGGACTCATAAACGGAAATTTTAAAGGAAGCAATGGTTTAAAATTGAAAGTTTTATTGATTAATTTGTTCATTACAAACATGCAGCTTTTCGCTTTACAAGGCATAAATTGATGGACTAGAGTAATGTGGATTACTTGATTACCCAATGTTTTTATCAGCTGTTTGAACTCTCATTCTGACGGCACCCATTCACTGCAGAGGATCCATTGGTGAGCAAGTGATGTAATGCTAAATTTCTCCAAATCTGTTCTGATGAAGAAACAAATGAATCCACTCTTGGATGGCCTGAGGGTGAGTACATTTTCAGCAAATTTTCATTTTTGGGTGAACTATTCTTTTAAGTGAATCGTGTCTATAATGCTAACAAATGTAATGACACCCCATCAGTCAGCGTATTGCATTGACAAGTAGAACAACAATAGTGCATGTTTTGATTTAAATGGAGATTAAATACACTAAATTTTTTAATCTTAATTTTCTATACTTATATTCCACTACACACTCCTGCTAGAGATTTTCATTTCACTGTATTTAGCATGATCAGAATACAAATTTTCACCCCTTCAATTTTATCTTTCTTTCTCTTTCAGAAAGTACAGATCTCATTTTTTTTAGCATCCCGAAAGGCTTATTCAAGATTTACAAAGTCGTGCGATTGTGTTTCTCTTTGTTTCTAATCAAATGGTGGTTTCCTGTAGCATGTTTTACATTTGAAAGCCTTTTCTGCAGTGTATTTTGAGGCTTTCTGGTCGACAATCTCTCAAGCTTTGGGGAATGAGATATGTCACATAGTGTCTGAAATGATTGAATTTGGGAGCACTGTGAAGTGCGTTTGTGAATGATATGGCCTTTAGAACGAGGCCTGCACACATTCTCCCCTTTAGACAGGAATGATGTGCCTCATGTGTCTTCAGAGCTCACGCACATGCACTGATCAGCAGTGAAAAAGGGCTGACAAAGATAATGGTACATATTTCTGTGTCCTAACGGAACACTCCAGCAATCATTCCAGCTTGCACTATTGTCCAGGATATCATTTCCTGTTGATTATGAAACTCTGCAGATAGAAAATGGCAGCGTGTATCATCCAGAAAAAAGAATTATAGTCCCAATGCTCGACTCTGTCTTCCATTATCTCATTCTTCCAGGAACCGCTAGACCAGCTAAAATCTATGTTGTGTTACCGGGGGAAGGTCTAGTGTGACATTGATTAACAAATCATTAGTGTCAGAAGTTGAAAATGGATACGCTAGCAGTGGATATCTACTATTGTCACTGTAATCAGATTTATCTTACAAAAATAACAAAAAGGTGTGTGTACAATATGCTAACACTTTAGTTTAAGGTCCAAATCTCACTATTAACTAGTTGCTTATTAGAATGCATATTACTTGCATTTTTTTAGTAGTACTTATAAAGCACATATTAATGCCTTATTCTGTGTGACAATATTTTCCCTTAATCTTACCCCATATCTAAACTTAACAACTACCTTACTAACTATTAATAAGCAGCAAATTAGGAGTTTGAGGTCGGAGTTAATAGTTACTGAAAGGAAAACTTGAAATCGCATCATATGACCCCTTTAATAGTGAGAATTGGACACTAATGTGTAATCATATACTGTATATATTAGGGTTGTGACGGTGAGGAAATTTTCCCATCGGTTAATCGACGTGTGACAACACCGGTAATACCGGTATCACCGCGGGGGCGGGACG